AGCCATAATGGAAGTCGAGTAGATCATGTTGTGCGGGGTGGACAATCCTCACTCCGTGCAAGGGGGATGATCACACCACGTTGTGTTAAAATTGGTCAAGCACCCTCGAGTCAATTACACAGTGCTTACAACTGTCTCTGGAAGTGAAGCACCAGAAAATTNNGGTGATGTGAGAGCCTGGTCCGGTGAGAACCCGGCGTGCTCCGTCCCGGCTTTGTAGGGATGCGAGGTCAATGGTCTAACGACTACGGCATGCACGACTATGAGTACACCCCCTTCACGCCAGGTACAGGGAGATGTTTGAGGAATGGAACAGAGGAGAGGACGGTAGCTGCACTGGGGAGTAGGAAGTGGTTTGATAAGGCGGGAAGGGAAATCGTTAGGATAGACAAACTAGGCAAGACTTTTTTGAACCACGTTTGGCAAAGTAGGAAGGAACGATTGGCCATCGGTGATCGATCTTGTGGGAACAATGCTCCGTCCTCTCGAGGACGCGTGGTCAATGGTCTAACCGCTAAGGCATGCAAAACAGAAGAGTTAGGGTACGCACTTCCCGCCCACACCCTACGCGCACCCCCGAGAAGCAGTGGTGCCCGGTTTATGTGAACCACAAATGATGCCCCCACCCCCGCCCCTAACCCTAACCCTAGCCCAATTGCGAGATCAATGGTCTAATGACTACGGCATGCACAACTATGAGTACGACCCCACCCCAACCCCCCACCCCGGTGTTTGCCGACGGGGTTGGGTTTCCGTCGCGCGGCAACCACGTTGTAAAACAAGCCGACCATTTCGTGAGCTAGGCAACCATGTTACCTCTGTTTTTTTGCCTCTGTTTTTATTTTTGGCGGTAACCATAATGGTGATCGAGTAGATCATATTGTGCGGGGTGGAGAACCCTCACTCCGCTCAAAGGGGATGATCGCACCACGTTGTGTTAACTTGGTCAAGCACCCTCGAGTCAGTTACACAGTGCTTACAACTGTCTCTGGAAGTGAAGCACCAGAAAATAAAATAAGTCATACGCAGCTGTCATCCGTATGCATACGCAAGGAAGTAGGCACAAGAAACCCTTAGCAGGATGCAGCGCACCCTTCATGCGACTCGCCGAATATCTCACGGCGCTTCGCGCTTGGTGATGTAAGGGCCTGGTCCGGTGAGAACCCGGCGTGCTCCGTCCCGGCTTTGTGGGGATGCGAGGTCAATGGTCTAACGACTACGGCATGCACGACTATGAGTATGCCCCCCCCCGTTATTTTTCTTGTTTATCTCCCGACAAACGCAGGTGCGGTGTGTATGCATCACCAAGGAAGACTTCCGGTCTTGCATGAACGAGAAACGGTTCCAGGAGGTGTTGGAGGAGGTGGCGTACCAGCGGGCCTTTTACCGTGAGCAGCGAGCTCAGCAGCTGGAGGAGGAACAGGAAAAGCAGGTGTGGTTGTCGTTGTCGTCGTCGTCGTCGTTTTGGGGAGGTGATGTTGCTGCCGCCACTCTGTCCGCCGGACAGTCGTGTTGACGCTCTTGCATTTTCTTCGTTTTTCCCGAGTATGGTGAGTTTAAGCGACAGTCAGCAGCTGCTTAGCACACACAGGCGTGTTTGTGGGTACGTATGTGTCATCAACAAGGAATACATTGGCGTCCTATAACACACGGAAGGCCCTGCAAGCTCCACACGAAAAAAGAAACCACCCAGACACCGTCTCGATGCCACTAGAGGAAACCAGGCACTCGCAGGGCGGACGGACTCTAGGAAACGACGGATTGCAAAGTGGTCACGGCTTTGGATGAGTTGCTAACCCCCCCCCCCCCCCCCCCCCCCCCCCC